GAGGAGGTGGAGGATACTGCTCTCCCAGTGCTTCATATAATGTTTGTTCAGTGTATCGTAGAGCCAATGGGTCTTCCCATGGCTCATTCTCCACGTTCTCTTCCATAAGAATCTGGCTTATGAACTTGAGAACAGGATCTGAGGATTCAGTATCACTGGCGGGAGAGGAAGAATCTCCCGCGGGGCTCCAGCCCGTGGTCGCAGTGAAAGAGACCTCATCAGCGCCACTAACAGAAACAGACGAAGGAAAACTAGCAGCAGGTTCTGAATTAGAGGGAAGAAATGGGACATCCATGAAACTAAGATCTGGAGAGGGAACATGGAAGTCAAACCCATTTGTGAGACTAGGGTTCTGGTCAGGATTGGTCAAGATTGTATCTTGTCCATCTTGGATACCATTTATATAATAATCAGAAAATTCAGGAGACTTGGGATCCATGATCGTCTCACAAACAAAGTCTTGAAACAAAAGTAAACCCCAGAAAGGCCTATCTCTAATCGATCAATTTCAGAAGGAGAATATAACAAATTGAGACAAAAAACGAGAATCTAAAAGCCCAACAGGTTGAAAGATGATGATATACAGATAAGCCCAAATGAAAGAAATAAGCTTTACTGATCTCTAGCTAACAAAATGAGCGCAAAACAGAAGATCAAGAACACTAAAAAGTTTACAAGAGCTGAAGCAGAATCGTACCTTGAAGAGACCCAGAAAGAGAATATGGAAGAAGAGAAAAAGGGTAGGGAGAGCTTTCAGGGAAGAAGGTCGAGAAGGGAAATAACCAATCTCCTCCGATATACGAACAGTGGGAGGATAAAAGATAAGAACTTGCGGAAGAGGCTAGAAGTGGAATTTGAAACAAATCTGCCAGCGGAGAGAAAGATGGAGTGGTGTCCTATCCCACATGCTACAACCGGTCAATCCTGATTGCTCAGGGTGGAGTTATTGTCGCATGTTCTTTTTTCTTTAGTTGTCAACGCCTCTATTTATGTTAGTGCTATGCTTTTTCTTTTTTTTTAAATAAAAAATAAAAACCAGTTCTATACTTTTTATTTTTGATTAAATGTTAATTTTGTTATTTAACTTTAAGGTTTTACATAATTTTAATTTTTTAATTTTCTTCTTATATTTTTTTTAACTATAAAAAATATATTTTTTTTATTATTTTAGTTAGTTAATTCATTAAGTTTATCTAAATATATACATTTTTAATTCATTAATTTTAAGTCAAAAGACTAAAAATATGTATATATTAAAAGGTGAAAAACTAAAAATATGCATAATTAAACAAATTTAATGGATTAACTATCGAAAGATTAAAAAATATTTTTTTCATAATTGAAGGACCAAAAAAGTGCATAAAAAAAAGTAAGGGATGAAAATTATGCAAAACCTTAAAATGAATAACCAAAATTAACACTTAACCTTTATTTTTTGAACAATAGTAGTGCTATAATTTTATATTAACCT